CGCACGTCTCTCTACATCGTGCTCATTTTATTTGCGGGTCCAGCAGTCCGGCTGATGCGCGCTCCGTTCCGCTGGTCCCTGAATATGGATGAACACGCGGTCTCTCCCCGCGAGTATTGATTTGCAGCGAATACTTATTATTTCAGGAGGTGCACACTTTACGCTGGACGTCCCCCTCCCTCTCTCTCTCTCTCTCCCTTTTCCCCGGGCTCTGCTCGGCCGGTCCGGACCCCTCGCCCTGTTCACTTCTGTAAGAATGCATATACGGTACGCGAGTGACCGGTCGGGCGGGCGGGCGCTGGTCGGCATGCAGACCTCATGAATATTTGGAGGTGGATGCCGGCAATGTGCCTCTGGCCCTGGGCCGCTGCTCGCGCGTGGTACCGCCCCTCTCTACCCAGCAAAAGACAAAAGTTCCCTTGAATTTCGAGACCCCGGTCTTATGGAAATCAATGGCGTCGCCGAGTTTGTAGTCCGCCAGGGGTCGCGCTCGGTCGCGCGTACTTTGCAGTCATATGGTCTCCGCCGCCGGAGGGTCGACGGCCGGCCCCGCGTCGCTGCTCGGAGGTGGAATAGTTCATCACACCAGTGGAGCGTGGTTTCGAGCCGGCGCACCGGAGGGGAGGAAGGGCTTGCTCTGGCTGCTCCGCATTCTGCTGTCCTGCTGTCCCGGAGGCTGGCGAGACGCCAAAAAGCTCCCCGCCGAGCTCCTTCTCCTCCTCGCGCAGCCGACCATCAGAAAGTCGTCAGGAAATGACTCTTTTTTGGGGGGTATTATTTATTATTTTCTGTTTACCTTTGGTCGGGTGTGCCGCCGCGGCCGCCGCCACCGACCGCGCTCCTCGCAAAGGACGAATAGAAATGAAGCCGGTGCGCGCGCGGCGGGCCGGGTCTGTGATCAAACGAGAGGAAGAGCTGCTCCACCGCGCTGAAATGTGATGCGACGCGGGGCGGGGCGGGGCGGGGCTACGCGACCAGAGCAAAAGGGTTGCGAGCTGCCCACACACCTGCCCGCGCCGCCAGCCTAGTGTAGTGCGGGCACCTCCCAAACAATCGTCATCGAAAAGAAACGCGTTTTTCGTATCGCCTGAACGGAGAGCGCGGAGCAGCTGAGGCCGGGAGGAGCTGGGGGGGGGGGGTCTCATTTCTGCCTCACGGCACGGTGGTGGTGCGGCTTGTGCGAGGGGAAGGGAGAGAAGGGAACGACTGCAACGCAACCTTACTAACACCACCGCTGCGGATTCGATACACACAGACATATATATAGACGCCGGAAATTGTGGCGTCGTCGTCTGCTGGAGTGTGCGGAGGGCGCTGCGCGGTAGGGTGAAGACGGTGTCGGTAGGGTCTCGCCGAGGGGAAAAGGGGAGGGGTGGGGGAGTTTGGTTTGTCCCGGAGCAGTCACCGCGAGGCGCCCGCCCTCGCAGTCATTGCAAGGGGCATTTCAAAAAGTGTGTGACACACTGTAATTGCTTACGAACAACAACACAGGTTCGTGATGCAAAACAAAACTTTCGTAGCTTTACAAACTGAATGCTTTGCAACGTTACGAGCGCTCAACCGTTGTGTGCGGTCCGTAGTTCAGAGCAAGAGCGTTTGCAGGACCACATGCGAGGCTCGGGGATGATGATGGTCCCGAGTCCGACGGTGGAGACCTGCGCACTGCCTTTCGCCCCCGCCCGTGCCCCGTGCGGCCTGTGCGCGCACGGCTGTGGTACACCGCTAAATGTGACGGCTGACCGCGCTGCGGTCTGGCGCTCTCTAGTTCTGTATAAATGGCATGATGGCCCCTAAAAGCCGGCCGCAGGACGAGTGCCGGCAACTACTAGGAAATATATTGCGATTCCCGCGGGATTCCCAGTCACAATCCATGGATTGCACTAGTGCACTAGCAATTATTGAATGCGGTTTTTGGAAAGTGTGATTCCCACTAATTTTGACTGCCCGACCCCAACCGCAGCCGGTATTAAAAGTAAAAACGGACGTTGGCGTTTGAGGGGATCTTTGTAAATCTCTTGAACATGGTGACAGAGTAGTGTTAAAATATGAAGGCCGAAACAAAAACACAAAAAGAAGCAGAAGAAAAAAACCCGGAAAAAACAGGGAAAATAAAGACAATTTTGAATAAAGACCCTCATTTGTTTATTTATTTTCCAAAGTTAAAAGTTCCAAGGAAAATTTTCTGGAAGAACTTTATTTTCCGGAAAACTTTTAACTTTTTGGAAAATAAAAATCTCAAAGTAGTGTGGATCGCCGTCGTGGTCGTGAGAATTTTCCACACCGATGAAACCATTTAACTAAGTATAGTTGGTATCGACTTGACCCTTCAGCCTTTCGTATTAAAAGCCGATCCGGAAACAGCACAATCACTCGCGGGGCTCTTCTTGTTCACTTCAGTTTGAAATGGACTGGAATACCGACTTAGGGCCACGTCGTCGCTCAGACAAAAGGCTCAGCCCTGCTTCCCTGTTAACGGGGGGCGTTCGGCTGCTGTACCCTCTTCTCTCCCCCCCTCCCCTTCCTCTTCCGAAGACCGGCGTAGATCCGGTCTGATATCCCTGCAGCGGTGATTATATCAGGGGTTCCGGACAGGGGTGGTTGTATGTGTATGACGACGTGGTGATGTGGATGTGGTTGGTGGTGGTGGTGCTGCTGCCGCTGCACAGCAGAGATTCTTCCGAGCGTTAAGAGCCTAGCGGCCGAATCATAATGAGGATGTGGGGATGTGGGCTGGCCCTGGGGAGTGATTAGCTTTAATGGAAACCTGGTCCTAACCCGTCGCGCCCCGCCCCGCCC